GGGGTGACACCATTGAAAGGGTTCTCCATTGAAACATATGCTAAATCAGACATGAAAATGGGCATCATATCTCTAGTTTACGAAGTTTCTGTCACACAAACTCACCTTCACGTGTTAGCCAATTTAATAATATGTACCTACAACAAGTTTCGGAAAAAAGTGGACGGCTAGTCTCGAGGTACAGCCTTGTTTATAAGAATCCGTGCACTTTGACCCCATATTCTAGGTCGATACCAAGGCAGGATGCAGGAGGGGTGTATGGCAACAAACAAGCCCATAACAAGGCAATTTCATGAAAAAACTTCATTTTTTTTTGCAAAAACATTCACTCACAACTCTACACAGTACAATCAACCACAAAAATGCCAAGAATTCAACAAAAATCCCACCCAAGAAAGGGTTTTAAAGCTCTTTAGCTCATTTTAATTTTGGGGCCTCTCACCCAGCAACTTGTGCGCATGCCCTTCGACCCGCGTCACCCCTATATTTCTTTCTCCTTGTATAAACCAGCCCTTCCGGATAATGAACACATGGCTGGGTGACCCTGCCAAGCTGGTGATTATGGAAGCGGTGCTAAATGTGATTCACAAAGATCGGCTGTTGGACAACATGACAGAGACAGGACAGGTCATCTTGCAAGGACTGGAGAACCTACAGGTAAACACGAGAAGGGCCATAATCATGTCTGGTCATCCCGCGTTATATGCCATGGATGTGTTAGGTAATATCCTTGTAAAATGACTTTTGAAAAGACTTAACAGTACTGTAGCTACTAATTGAGATGAGTTGGGATGACCTGGTGTGTTTGGCTTTCTAGCCAGGCAAGCCATAGCCAAGCCACATTGCACTTATACTTTAGTCTAGTAGCATATTCATTTGAATTATTCATTATGTTAAAGGATATTGAAAGACCCATGATAATGGCATATGCTGAAACATGCAAATTTAAATTAAATATATTTGTTACAAGCTTTGGGATTAAAAACCTTGGCAGCAAAAATTAAGTGAATTGCCAGCAGTGAGAAAAAAAGGTTATGGGAAAGCTGCTATCATAAAAACTGATAATACAATCATTGCATTCTCAGGACAAACATGCTGAAGTTCTCTCTAATGCTCGTGGAAGAGGGGCCTTCTGTGCAGTAGACTTCCCAGACACTTTGACCAGAGACAAAGCTGTAGCCACACTTAGGAACAAAGGTATACTAAGTCTTGCATAATAAGCCACGCTTTCCTACTATCCTAATGGTACCAATGCCATCTTAGATCAACAGTCACTGCAGCCTACTATTTAAGCTGAATGTTGCTTAAAATCTAATTGATATTTTACACTGGTTGAATGTCTGTACGATTGTCAGGTGTGCAGTGTGCAGGCTGTGGGGTGAAGTCTCTCCGAGTGCGACCAGCTCTCATCTTCCAGCCACATCACGCCAGGATGTTCCTCGACATCATGGAGGAAACAACACGGGAGTTGTAGTCGCTAGGGACATGATTCTTTGTCATAAGGACCCACTTTTAAACGTTTTGGTAAATAAATATTTGGGCCTATATACACTAGATATTTCATCTACATGTACATTGTGGTTAGATTTGTCATTCCATTACTAACCTGTTCTTCATTCTGTGAATAAACAACATCATCACACTGCATCAAATTCTAGTGTCTGCTTTATTAGAATATAGGACATACATTGTAATGTAAGAGAGACAGGTCATTGTGTTGCTAGACATGTCCTAAACAACACAACAGGATCATATACACGGTACGATATATATACATGTACCGGTACATATATATTGGACATTACCAGTAAGTGTCTTTGTGCCTACACTATACTATCCTGAGAGGACTCCTCCTGACTGCTGTCGATCTCTATGTACTCCACATCACTCTGAGAGTCTGTCTCTGGGAGCGGCGTGTGGTGAACATTCGCCGCTGACTGCTGGGTGAGGATCGCTGTCTTCAGTCTCTGCTTGGTCTCCTCAGAGATGGACCCTGACCTGGGTCTGTGCTTGGTTAACCCACTGGTCCCCGGCTTGGAGTAAAAGCTGGTACTAGGATAGCTCTGCTGCATGGTGGTAGAACTCCGGGCTACCTCCGTGGTTTTCTCGTAGGCTCCACTTTTGTACAGGGAGGAGGATGATCCTGAGGGGGTGACGGTGATGGTTGGTACACTCATTGGTGAGGCTGTTGATTTCTGTGGAGTGGAAGGTTCAGGGGTGTGTGTGGTGGTAGCCATAGGGTCTTTATTCTCCCTCCTCTCCTGTGCTGTGGTGACTGCAGGTTGCCATGGCACGCTCTTTGGTGATGATGATGATGTTGTTGTTGTAACTGAGGGTTGAGGTCTGGCACTGCTACTGGAGGGTGGCAGAGGCTGGGAGGGGTTACTGACTGGTTTGGAGGATGGCTGCACTTGTTGTTGTGTTGATGCAGAGTAGGCCAGGCTTGGTGCAGGCTGGCTACGCTGCAGCTGACTAGCAGTGCTGACTGGAGAGGTGTCAGTTTTGGGTGTCCCCATGTGAACAGAGGCAGGAGGGGTGGAGGTGGGGGGAGAAGAGAACGTCAGTGCCATCTGTACGCCGCTGCTGGGCGTGGTGGGCGTGGAACTGCTCTCCCGTTTCTCGTGTGTTGGCGTCTGTGGCAGCCGCTGCTTCTGCTGGTAGTTCTGACAGTAGCTGATGGCCTGTTCCAGCGGGCTTGGTTCCGGCTCCATGTCGTCCACTCGGTAGAGCGTGTACGCGTCGGCGAGGATGTTACTCTCCACCTCCATGTTGCTGCCTGTCCTCTGTCCATGCTGAAAGACTTTCCAACAGTCCAGGACAAGTTTCAACAGTTGAGAGCTGTCCATTTCTTCTGCTGTGCTACAGCACTTTAAGACAACGTCCTGCAGAGTCTCCAAGGAGTACTTGTAGGCCTGCTTGGCAAGCATGGTGCGATCCACGTCACGTAGGTACTTCTTGCCCTGATCAGGGGTACGGTGAAGCTGGGTGGCAAGCTGGGAAAAAACATCATTAGGGATCAAAAACTACTATGGAGGCTCACTTGTGTTGACAGAAAAACCTAGAATTGAAGAGTCTGTAATAATGACTTGTTCAGTGTTTTTTTGCTTTATTCTATGTGTTACATGTGGGTAGAATGTTTGAAAAACTTTCCAAGGAGAATGCAATGCATTCGTGAAAATGGACAACTCTAAAATCTAATTGAACAGTGAAAGATGAAACTGTACATACACTTAGGGAAGAGGAATACAAAGACCAGGGCTTTGAGAAGTGGTTGACTGAAATAGCACAACTAAAGTTACAAACCCAAGAATCCTATTCTAAAATATGGGGTCCAGTGTGTGCGTTGAATCATGTGAGACTCAGTGTTCCTTTTGGATGCAACAAAAAAAAATACAGGTATGTGACTCTGTGACAAGATGGGGTTGTGAGCAATCTTTGGCTAGATTTTACCACAGAGCTCCCCGTACCTGAAACAGTGTGTTGCTATCGTTGAGCTGCCGCAGCACCTCCAGCAGGAGTGAGACACACCGGCCCATGTGTGAGGCAAAGCTGCCGGGCCGGTCTATCTCGTCCACAGGGATGCGCCAGATGCCGTTGAAGAGGTTGGTCTTGTTCCTCTCGTGGAACAGGCTGTGGGCAGGCATGTGGGACAGCTCCTTCCAGTGGCCCTGCTTCGGACCCAGGATCAGGTCACGACCCCACGGCAAGTTCCTGCAGGGATGAGGAAAATTAGAATTGTGTACACACTACCTAGGAAATACCACACTTATAATGATAGCTGATCTAGGTTAACATTCACTGATATTCAACAACAATTAAATCCGTATAGGCAAGTGTGATCTATCATCAGTGACCTCACCAGTAAAAAAAAAACAAACATCCATGGACATGTTTACAATGTACAACTGTACAATGTATGTATCCTTGTGTACATGTACATGTGTAGCTATGGAAAGAACTGCTTGTAGCTGCTGAAGACTGAAATCTTTCTTCAAGTCTAAAATTACTGCTTAATAAAACTTTTCTTCCAATTTCTTATTTATCAACATTAAAAAAAGAGACATGGGTGAACAGACAAGAATCTTATCAAATAATAATTAATTAGAGACTTTAAATGGTTTTCTTGCCTTATGTTTACTGAGCTCTGAAGTTTCTTCAGATCAAAAGTGTTTTTTACAGCCTTTTTGTGTACAGAACTGTTGCATAGAAACAAATGTAAGATTAAAACAACTTAAAGTTTAAAGTGAATTTTCCTCCAGACAGATGCTTACTTGTGGAAGGGTGAGTGGAAGTAGAGGTGGCAGAGTCTGTAGATGGACTTGTAGTGCTGAGGAAATCTGTGCAGACACAGGTGAAGTCCTTGGACACACAGGTCCATCAGGTTCTTCCTACGGGTCTCAATGTTTACAGGGGGAGCTGGAAAAAATTATAAACATATGTGGACATCATTTTATTAAAGGCAATTAGAAAAGAATGTAACATTCATGTACCTATGTGGACATCACGACATATGTGTTAGAGAGGAATTACATAAATAGGAAATACAAAACATGTCAAGTCTAATATCTGAACTACAAAAATACCTGGTCAAGTCTAATATGTGAGCTACAAATATACCTGGTTTTGTGTCTTCCTTCTTGCCCTCTCCCTTGCTTGCTGCTGCTTCTTCTTTCTCCTCACTCCTGTCTTGTGGAACACTAGATAAAGTGTCAGATGTCTCCTGTACTGTCTTCCCTGCAGTCTCCACTTCCATTGGTTCCTCCTGGTTCTCTGCCTTCTCCTTGTCTTCGTCCTTCTTTGTGCTTACTTCTGTGCCAGGGGCCGATTCCTCCACAACTTTCTCATTGGTGTTAGACACAGACACAGGTGTTTCTTCTGTTTGGTGATCTGCGTTTTCTTTAACTTCAGTCATTAGTTTCTCATCTCCCTTGTCTACCATTGCTTTCTGTACATCAGATTCTGACACCTTTTCATGAGTATCTGTGTCAGGTGTAACTGTTTCACTTTTCTTAACTTTCTCTTCGTCTGTCTTGACAACTTTCTCCACCTCCTCTTTGGGGTCAGGTACAAGTTCTTCTTTGCTGTCAAGTGTTGGAGTTCCTTTTTCTTCCTCACTGACACAAACGTCACCAACATCACTGACAGGTGTTGAAGGTTGGGTCATCACTGCTTCCTTCGCTTCCTCATTGTCCTTCTCTTTCTTGCTGCTGAGCCCTTCTGGTGACACCCCCTTTTCTTCTTCCTGTTTCTCAGCTTTGCTTGTAGTGGCTGACTCTAACACTGGTGTAGGTTGGACCACAGTATCAGTGATAGTCTTTCCTTCAGTAGGTGAAGTCTGCATCACTGGATCAGTGATAACATGTCCTTCAGTCTGTCCATCTCCAGGTGGTTTAGATGGTTCTGCAAGGTTGACTGGAGTGTCAGTTAACACCTCCATTTCTGGTGGTGTTGTTTGCTGTTGGTATTTTATGTCAACTTTGTCTGCAGTAGGCATATCACCTATTGAGGCAAAAGGGATAGAAATTGTTAATATCAAATGCTGGTAAGTCCTCCCCTTTTAGGTGTTTCCCAGGTGCAAAGTGCAGAAGGGACAGCAGTGATGTAACTACATTGTACATGCAAAGCAAGGGACTCAAGCATGAAGGTGCAGCAACAGTGAGTGTTGTCAATTCTCTAGCCTGCAGAAAAGGACAATGTGCAAAATACTGCTTCTATCAGATGCCAATAGCTTGCTAGCAAACCCTGGTCCTGAGTCTGATGCCATGCATGTGCATGTGAAAAAGCAGCATAGATTTTCAACAAACCATATTCAAGACAACTTACTACACCTAATAGAGATACATTTCTAGGAGTGCTTTCAGCCAAGACATGCTAGTCGGAAGAGTTGTGACAGTGAAAGCTTTCTACTGGAGGCTTTCTACTGACAGAAAATCCCGACCACCTTCTTGGTCTGCCTGTAAAGGTGCACCGAACTCGTCAGAAGGACCAGCACTTTGCTGTGCAGTTAGGACACTATCGTCTGTTGTGGTTATTTGTAGGGCTGCCACGACAGACCGGCTGCCCTCCGGGGTAGACTCTGCCGTATGCTTTTCAGCCATACTTCTGAGCAGAGCTTTGATACATGGGAGACACCTCCAGTAAGTCACTTCGTTGGTAAAGAGAGTGATGTGTACAGTCAAACCTGTCCACACTTAGTAACCAATCAACTTGGACTTGAAGAAAATGGTCATAGTAGACAATAGACAGAATCCCCAATATCAATGCTTCAAGGTTCAATGTGAAAATACATGTACTAGTAATGACCTGATGGTTTTTAGGTCTTTATGCACAAGTGGTCAGTCGTACAGGTTTGACAGTACATGTATATGTTCTGTATGTGCAACACAATATTGCTTCCAATAGATGGAAGTAGATGTCATAATTAAAATTTAATGTAAATATAAAAATACATACTCGATAGTGTACAATTAGTAGTA